GTATGATTTCCCATGAATACATAACAATAACTTTTGCCCACTAGAGGTTTTCGATATAAAAATGAGGCACAACCAGGTTGGATCTCACTCGTCCGATCTTTCATCGTGAAAACGCATCGAATAATTTCAACATCACTTCCATAGCCACAAATTTCTATGTCTATTATAGGAACAGGAACGAAAAAAATCTAATATTCTGCTCTTATTGACTTTAATTAATTCAATTACTCACTTGGCACTTCAATAGCGGACAATTTCTCATTTGTCATTTGGATCATTGCTTTGCCAGTCCAAATTTGAAAACACAGGAATGAAATGTATGACGAAAGCATAACGAATACTATCGTGGCCGTTATTAATCTTATGATACGAAACTGTTTAGGTTCCTTGTACTAGAAAAAATATATTAACAGTCATTAAAGATATAAGATTATCCAAATAGAGCCTTACCAGAACACGATTTGTCCTAAACATATACAACATCTTGAAACAATATTTTTTTGTCTAATTTTCCGAGTCCACTTTCACAGCAAATATATTTTTAAATCATATTACATATTTGGAATACAATGACCAAAGAAATGTACATGCAATCGCCAACGTTAATAACATAAAAAAGGAAGCTACAAAGAATATATATGATCTGCATAAGGTTGTGGCGAAGATGGCATTATGACGAAGTTGGATAGTATAAAGAAGTCATATTTGATATCAAAAGTATCATGCACAATAATTATATAATCACTACACATTTTCTTAATGACATTTGATCTGTCACCAAAGTAACATAAATTTTTTTAATTTCACAATTTATACAAATTTATTTTCTTTGCATTATGCTATAGTTTCAAGATATACATGTAAATTAATAATCATATTTTTATTTTTAAAACAAAAGTTTAATTAGTAAGCTTATTTTAACAGTTTAATTTAATTTTTAATATTTAATTAATCAAAAGATATATAAATAAAAGTGCTTTGAGATATGAAATAGTGTTTGAATATTTCAATTTTGATATTTTATATAATGAATCATATTTCAGCTTTAAAAATTGAGAATCTTCATATCTTTTTAAACAATAATAAAATTAATAGCTGTGCTTTATAACTTTAAATAAGTGTATTAATTTATTAATTTAAAAAGATTCATAAGCTTTATTTAAATATAAAAATCTAGTCAATACTTTATATATAATTTTTAGTTATCTTTTTCTAAAATAAAAGAAAAAAGATCAAGTTAATATTATTTAATAGCTTTAGTTATAATTCTCTTTTTTATAATTTAATAGCTTTAGTTATAATTCTCTTTTTTATAATTATATAATATTATAAATACACTACCCTCGGAAAAGTATTTGGTCAAGCATTTTTTAAACTTTTTAAGATTAAATATATTAACTAGACAAAAGAAATTTTTTAAATAAATTTCCTAATTTTGACAATTATGAACATATGTTTGTATTTGTGCTATGATATATAAATAAATTTTGATAAACAAAAATGTAAATAAAATTCAACTTTATGTGTTTCAAGATGATAATGCTCCAGTTCATACAGCAAGGAATATTGAAAATTGGATTGCTCAAAAGTGGATTAAGGTAATTTTTCAATTGGTCTTCTCAATTACCAGATCTTAATCCAATCAAATATTTATAAAGTGAACTTAAATGAAGATACAGAAAACACTCTGTACAGCTAACAAATCTTTATGAACTTGAAAAAGTACTACAAGAAGAATAGAGAAAAATTCCATCTGAAACTTATACTAAACTTATAAAAGCATATCATATAGAATTAAAATATGCATTAGGAATTAAGAATGATCTATAGAATATTAAATGTCATATTTGTGTTAAAAAAATTAAATAAATAAAATATTTCTTTTATTAATCAAATACTTTTTCAAGAATAATGTATTAATATAAAAAGTTTTTAAAATAATTAAATATTATTCTATTTATAAATAATTCAAACTTATTCTTAATTATATTTATAAATTAAAGCTTAATAAAATTTATCTTAATATTATATAATCTTTTAAAATTAATAATAAAAAATATATAGTTTAAATAATTCATATTTAATAATTATATAATAAATATTAATATTTTTAATTTCTAAAATTTCTATATAGATATTATTTTTAAAATCTAACTAGCAATTTATTTTTATTATAAGTTTCATAAAGTTACTAATCAGATTTTAAAAATAATATTTATATAAAAATTTTAGAGATTATATTAATATTAAATATAAATTACTTGAATCTATATATTAATAATAATAATATTATATATAATATATAAAAAAACTAAAATTACTATTTTTACTTATATTTAATAAATAGTTATTTAAATTATATAAAATTTTAAATATTTATACTTAATAATCTAGTAAATAAGTTTAATTAAAATATTTAATAACTTATTTTTAATAAAATTTTTATAATATTTTTTATTAAAATTTTTTTTGAAAAAATTAATTATAAAAAAATTAAGATTCTTTTTTAAACTTTTTATTATTAATAAAAGTTTATTTAATTATATAAAATTTTAAATATATACTTAATAATCTAGTAAATAAAATTAATTTATAAAATAATAATTAAATTTAATTATAATAATTTTTTTAAGTTTTTTATTATAGTAAAAAATAATATAAAATATTTAATACTATATTAAAATATTAATTTAATATTATAAATTATATATATAAAATTAAACTAATTAATTAAAATTAATTAAAAAAATTTTTAAATATATAAATTTTTATTTTTATATAATAAATATCAAATTTTTATTATATATAAAATTTAAAATATTATAACTTTTTAAAATTTCAATTAATAAAAAATCTAATTTAGTAATAATATAACTTAAAAAAAATAATAAATTTATAAAAGAAATTTTTATTAAAAATATTATTTTTGAGTTATAGTTTTTTTATATTATATATAAATATTAAATATTTTATATTATATTAAAAAATTTATTTATAAAAATATAAATCATATTAAATAAAGTTATTTATTATACTTATAAGTATATATATTTAAATTTTTATATTATTTAAATAAATATTGTAAAGAAAATTAAGAATTTCAATTTTTTTTATTATATATTATATTTTATAAAATATTAATAATAATTAAAAAATTAATTTATTAATAAAATATAATTATTTTATATTAAATTTATAATTTATAATTTATAATTTATTTAATATTTTTAAGATTTTTCTAAAATAATTAGTTTAATTAAAAAATTACAAAAATTTTTTAATTATAATTCAGTATAAAAAGATTTATATCTTAAATAAACATTATAATTATGATTTATTATAAAAAGTTTAATATATTATATAAATATTAACAAATTATTTTTTTAAATAAAATTTTTATTCTATTTTATTTAATTAAGTTATTAAATATTAAAATTTATTTAAATATAAAAAATTTTATTATATATCTTTTATAAAAAAATTTAATAATAATAAACTTTTGAATTATTATTTTATTATATAAAATTTAATTAAAATTAATATAAAAATTATATAATAAATAATTTAATTATAAATTTTTAAATCTTAATATTTTTATAACTATTAATTTAATTTTTATAAAATTTAAAATATATATTTATTAAATTTAATATAATTTACTTGTATAATTTGAAGCTTTAATATTATAAATTAATTATAATAATATTTAAATTATTTTATTTAAAAAATAATAATTTTATTTAGTAAAATAATACTTTATTTATTATTAAATTAAAGTATAATAGAGTAATTAAAATAATATAAAAAGTAAATTTATATAAGATTATTTTGTTAATGGTTATAAATAAGATAAAATATAATATGAATAGTTTTAATTTTATAACTTATCATTATTTTTATTATTTAAAAGTATTTAGATCTGAGATAAAAGTATAGAATAGATAATACTTATTTATAGTAAAAAAAAAATAAATATAAAAATAAATAAATTAATAATAAAATTTATTTTAAAATATATATAGTTGAATAGAATTAATTAACTTAATTTATATCTTTGAAGAATAACCAATCATAATTCAATAAGTAATAATAATTATAAATATGATA